ATAGCCAGATATAGATATAGATACAAATAGACAGAAAAATACAGATACAAAAAGATAGATAGATATAGATACAAATATAGATATAGCAACAGATGATATAGATACGTCCATATATATATAAATAGAGACATAGATATAAATAGAGATATAGATATAAATAGAGATATCGATATAAATAGAGATATAGATATAAATATAGATATTGATGTATAGATATAAATATAGATATTGATGTATAGATATAGATACAGATACAAATATAGATAGAAATATAGATATAGACGTAAATATAGATGTAGATATAGATATAGATAAAGATATATATATATATATATATATATATAGATATAGAAAGCGATAGAAACAGATGTAGATATAGATATAAATATAGATAGTATATTATAAATAAAGAGCTCATATAAAGCTTAGCAACCAATTTAGCAGTTTGAATAATTATATTCTACTTAAATTAGTTTTTGAGTATAGAACAGAATATACTTGATATAACTTCAGGTACCTACAGACTGAAGTTTTACAACTATATATTTATATAGACGAGAACTTGTTTAAAACCATTTTTAACATTACGCATATATATTAACAGGTCTAATATATTGTTTAAAATTTGTAATATTGGTTAATGCTAAAGATCTTCTGAAAGTCTTATTAATTTTTAGCTTTTCATATCATCTAACTCTTTAAGACTGTGGGTAAAAAAAGTTATAGAGAGGTTGTTATGTCGAAAACTGACTAGTTAATTTACTGCAATCGACTATTCAAGTAAACGTATCAGGGTTAGGTAATTGAATTGTATTGTAGTTCGCTTCCCGGCTCACTCCTGAATCATTTCATAAACTTCAGTTTATGGAGATATGCAATATGAATAATACAGCACACACTTAAGTAGACTCTCAACTAGAGAAGGATATCCCATTAACATAATTTTTTTTTTAAATTCGCTAAATATTGACTTTTTTGATTATAGCAATCCATTTTCTGGTAACAGTAAATACTTTTATTGAAAATTTTTTTTTGTAATGTACAGAAGAAAAGCGAGAAGAAAAATCTGTACAAGGTCATCATATTTAACAAACAAAATTCTGATTATTTCTTCCTTTAACAGAATTCCTTGCTTTTCGTTACTTTCCTCTGCATTTTTGTTCATATCCTGTTTGAGTATTCAGTTGTGCTTTTGTTCACTTTTCTAAATTAGTTTCAATCTCTAAACTGCGCCTCTATATATGCGGTATTTGATATGGAATGGTGCTGCGCTGCTATTTGTATTCAATTTGCAAAGTACAATTCAAGCCTTATTGAATAGCAGCCTTGGATTAGCAGGGCTTCAATTAGTGTTTCGAGTGGAAGTGCATTGAAGTGTTAAATTTTGTGTATTTCAGATTGGAATCTTCTTGAGTGTGTGCTGCCTTAGCTGCAGAGTATGTGTTCTAAATACTTTAGCAAAATTTCGGCGTATTTATAAGTTTGTATATATCTTTTGCACATACTTTGTTGGCATGTTTCCTTTTCCATTCTTTCTTTGGGTTGCGATTGAAACATTTTGTGTTAATTAGTTGAAATTAAGTCAGTCAAATTAAAAAGAGTAAATACATATTAAGAAGTAGGTTAAGCGAAAGCAAGAGTCAGTACTAGAAATTGTAGAAAATAAATTGAATATCGTAATTAGAAAACTTGTTCTATTTGAGTTCAGCAAAGCATCGACGTGATTGCGGATTTAACTAATTGTCTTATCTACTCGCTACAATTAAGTACAGAATACATGTAACTCATACGCCATGTAGTACATTTGTTTGTATGGAATTTTTATCTAAATGGGAAGATGATAAATAATTATAGCTAATTAAGATTTTTTATTATTTATTTTATTATATTATTAAATATGTATTTTAGTTCGTAAAACTTGCCATCACTTCAAATTTAATGGAATTGATTATTTAAAGTACTTCAAATAGTGAAACTTTAAGTGAAAAACTGTGAATAAAAAATATATATGCAGAAGTGATGCAAAAAATGTTTATTTATTTTTTAATATTATTAAATATGTAAAACTAACCATCACTCCAAAATAAATTAAAATATTTATTTAAAGTATTTTAGATAGTGAATTTTTAAGTGAAAAATTAAAAATTATAGAGAGAGAAATAAAAAATATATGCAAAAAATGGAAAACTTAGAGAAATTGAAAATAAAAGTTGAGTAAAATTGATGCTGTAAATGAAAATACCACAAAATACTGAATTATTTAAAAAAATATAGAAAAAAATTGTAAAACTTTGTTGAACTAAACTTCATAGAGACAATTTTGCAATCGCCTCAGGCAGTTGGGAAAGAATTTACTTAATTTCAAGTTGATCCGCTTCGTTGCTTTTAATGTAGAAATTTTAAGTCTGTCTTTAGCATAATGAATTTATTATTTATATATTGCTAACATAAAGTTATGCTTAAATAATGAAAAGTTAACATATTTTAATTAATTTATATATGTAATAACATATACATATGTATATAAAGTTCATACAAATATTTAAAAAAACGATTTCAATGCAAGCATGACTTATTAATGTGGACTGACGATAAATCGCTGCGAATATTTGGAAAATCATTTTAGACAAGGGTTTTGCTGCTTAGTTTAGGACATTCACAGAGAATGTGTTTAGATGTTTTAAAATCCATTTTATAGTAACAATAGAATTAGGTCTCTACACTAATCTGTTAGAAACGTGGTGAGAATTTTATTATCCTCACTCCTCAGAGTAAGATGTCGATTAGATACTGTGTTTTATGAGTTGATGAAAAAATATGAATTATTTTATAAGAGAGATATTAAAATATTAGAGAAGCATTAGAATGATTATATTACTCTTGATGGATGGAGATGGATGATAACAAATTAGATTTCTGTCGCACTTTGCTAAAAAATTGTTGTTTTATTGACTATCCTTCCCTTTCCCTCCAGCTACAGTCGTTGGTTGATTTATGACCATTCTTTGCGGCAGGCAAATTGGGAGCGAGTTCTTTCTTAATTTTTTGAGGTCTGCCAATAGGAAGTAGTCACTGTTGACCGAATGTTCTTAAAATTTGTATGGGATCTTCATAAGTGGCACGCCAAAAAATGTCACTTCTTCTTTTTACTCTTTAACTTTTATTAGAGTTTATTGTTAACGTCACAAGTCAAAGGCTACATGATCACTTTATTCAGAAGGTAAAACTACGGATTTTGTATCTGTTTGTATCTGTAGATTTGTATCTGTTTTTATAGGTCACTGAACTATAGAACGGCATAACGCGTGTCTACCAGCGCTTAAAAAGAAGTACACCAGAACACCTATTGCGTCTATGCACAGATTTGCCCACAACCAGGCTTAAGCTTTTGGGTGCCCTTTTCTGTAACACACCCAGCGATATCTCCAGTATAAGCATTGGCCCGACTCGCGTTTTTATAAATGCTTCTGGCTGGTTCTAATTTGACCATTTTTCTACTCATTATTACGAGAAATTGTAAAATCAAAAAGGATCTTTTAGTTAATAGAGGACATTTTATGCCTTCCTCACAAGACAAGACTTCGTCATTGTCTTAGCTGTTATTATCCTTTTACTGTGAAGATAAAATATAATAAAGTGGAGAAAATTGCTTCATTTTCCATTATTTCACTAATAATTTAATAAGAGTAATTTATATTCTGTGATTTTCAAACAAAGCAAAATTAAACTTCTGCAACACCCTCAACATTGTTTCGTAACTAAAAACCTATTAAAATTTCAAAATCCACCAGAATTACCTAGTACTTTGGAAACTTGCAGGCTTTTAGACAAAAGACAAAAAAATGCTTTGAACAGTTTTAAATTACCACAAATATGCGAGCTCTAACTGGCATAAGACGTGTAGCTCCCCAAAACCGACCATACACCAGTAAAGCCCGCATTGCCGCAATGGCAGAGTGAATGTATGAAAGTATGCGCATACTTTCACTTACCTATGCACGGTATGCAAATCAGCCTATGCAGTGAAGTAGTGAAGCAGTGAAGTGCACGATATATCATGATTCAATCAAGAACAGAGCATGAACGCTTGTGCTTACAAATATTGAAATGCCAAACAATGGCCTTAAGTACAGGATGAAAAATTGGATTTCTTCTGCAACCACAAAGAGTTCATTAAATTTTCTGGTACTCGTTAAAAGAGTAAAGCAAGCAAATTCCAAATTCCAAATTCCAAATCCAGCAATACAAACACACTTACACGAGTAAACGAGTGTGTGTACGTGTGTATCTGTGTGAGCCAGCCTTGAAGTTGGTTGCATAATAAAATCAAAAGATTGTACAAAATGGCGTTATTACACAAAAATTAGTAGGCGCACAGCAACGACAAAAGGAAACGGAAACAATGTGCTATTGTGAATAAAATTTGTACACAGTGAAGCATGTGTATGAGGGGAATATATGTGGATATAGTTGGTGGGGTGTGTATTTTAGGGAACGTCTAGGTTTTGTTACTGGCAGTAAAAGTGCTACTTGTTTTCTGCCTATTGTGCGCAGTAAAAGTTGTGCTTGTGCTTGGATCGACTTGGAACGACTTGGAACGACTTGGCTTGACTGTCTGCTTGTCTGTTGTGAGAATATTTTGTGAAAATTGCAAATTGGTTTAGGTGAAATAAAAAATTCAAAAGTTAAGCTGCATGAAATACAAAAATTTATGACTGTTTTTTGTTTAGTAGACTCAGGTCTGGCTGGTGTACCTGTACTTGTACGTATGTTCGGCCATACAAAAGAAACCTGTTGAAAGCCAAATACCCTAAGGCAACAGAGGGAAATGAGCAATCAAAAATTTTTTTAAGTGTAAAAGAATTTCTTTTACAGTTTTTTTATTTGTGTTTTTTTTTACCGCGTCTGCATATCAGTTATATATATATATGTATGTATGTATGGGTTGTACAAGTTTACATTTAAGCTGTAAAATATTTATAAAATGAATTTTTGCTTACCGTTATAAATATCTGATGCAGTCGGTACATGTTCCGGGTTGAAACGGTTCTCCAGATACGACAATATTAAATTAGTTTTTCCCACTGCACCATCACCAACGACAACACATTTAATTGCGGCTTTTTTCGGCTTATCAGTTTTTAATTCTTTATCTGTGTGAAAAGTGAGTAGAAGAAAAAATGTTTTCAATTCAATTTGTAAATTGCAATCAAAAATTAATTAAACAAAAATATAACCAAGGGTCGAGCGCCCCTGGTAAGCTGCGTTCAAATTTGCATTAAAACTTTGTTGGCAATTTTATGAAGTGCAGCATTTAAACTTTAAGTATTTGAAATGGTTTTTGTGTGGATCCCTCACCTTTTGTGCTCTTCTTCGATTTACGTTTTCGCAATAAAAACTTTGCACCTTTGTTGCTGTTGTTGCTGTTACTGCCACGTGAACTGGAACTTGTATCGCTCGTGGACTGCTGCAATAAAAATGGGAAATCAGATTAAGTTACATTGTTAAAGGAGTCGAGAAAAGGTCGGATCTATGGTTGCTACTGATAAAGAGGAAAAAAATAATAAGCAAATTTGTTTAAGTAGTTTTATTCGTAACAAATTTGCAGATCTCGTTTTATTAAATTCAAACAAATTTTGTTAAATTGAATTAAATTTATTGAATTAATAAGAAAATATATTTGAAAGATACATTTGAGATAAGAATTTCAAGCTACTCAAAAAATTTATACAATATAAAATTTATTGGCACGACTTTGATTTTCCTGGCAGGCTTTCTGACAACGGATTTTAGAAAAGTAATTAAAGGTAAACGCAACTATTTTGAGCAACTTTTTCCACTACGCTATATGTCAGTATATATAGCTTTATAAGTATATGTATGGACGGAAGTAGCTATAAGTATAATAACCTTTAACTTGATATGTCTCTTTAAAGTTATTAATTTTTACATAAAAATTCGATTTGATTAAAAAATTGACTGCCAAACAATATAAAAACAATTAGAAAAAGTACAAGATATTGATATCAAGTTTATAACAAATAGACTAATACATCGAGAATACATTATCAATTATTAGAATAAATATTACTCATAAATACCGAGGACAATTGTCCCATATTATGTAACAATATTATTCAAGAAATAAATATGACAGTACTTCGTGACTATAAGAACTAATTGCATAATCTAATGGAATAACATTATAAACAAAATATGGACAGATTTTTATAGAAAAGATTTTTATACGAAATATTCCATATGAAAATAATTCTTTTATATGAAATATGAAATATAAAATATAGATTATATGTTTTGTATATAGATATAATTTCTATATAGAGATTTTCAAGTAAAAAATGTTTAAAAAAATTTTTATTAATAATTCCAAGTTTCTTAATAATTGTTCTTAAAAACATGTACTCATAATCATATTATTAAAACAATAATTATATTGTAATTATAACAATTAGTTAATCTATACTAAATCATAATTTTTGTTCTCGATTACACATTTATTAGTTGAAAATTTTCCTTTTTTATTGTAAAATTTACTAAATCAGGTAAATAGATTTTGACAAGCGAGAAGACAACCAGTGACATAACTGTATTGTTGTCAAGCATTATTTTAATCGCATCAGTTTTGCCTTTTGTCACTTGTCAGTAAATCAGCACTCCTAACACTACGCTCACCATAAGTGACTTCAAAAATAGTGTGAGAATGCCTTCAACTTCTCTCGCTGAAAGGATTCATTTAATATGGATCTTAGTGCACAGCGAAATTGAGTAAAACGAGTAAGCAGACGAACTAGACAGAAAAGAGGCCATCTGCGGTCCTGCATGGAGCTTTTTCAAGCTTAAAATGAATGAATAGCTGGAAAAAGCAGCTCAGACCGATTCGGATAATGCAATTACCTGCAGACAAGTTAAAGAATTCATGCCGAATCGTTCAAAAACCAGAACTAGGGAGTTTCGTATGCTAAACAGTAACACATCCGACTTGTCACAGGGTTTCTCACTAGACATTGCGGAGTAAAAAAGCATCTATCGAACCTAGGTTTTACAAGAGATAATAACTGCAGACTTTGTTACGAAGAAGAAGAAACAGCAGAATACATTATGTGTCACGGTAATAGTCTCGCTAGACTCAGACTTCGGTACTTATCAACTGCCTATCCACTTATCACACAATTAGGCAACATCTTTCTAAAGGATATAATGGCGTTTTTAACTGCTACTCGTCTATGGAACTAAAATGGGTATGTGACAATATTCCTTAAAGGATGCAGTGACGTGGTAACAAGTTCCTAACCTTTGTTGCGGAGAAGAAGACACAACAGAACACATAATGTGTCACGGTAATAGACTCGCTAGACTCAGACTTCGGTACTTATCAACTGTCCATCCACTTATCACACAATTAGGCAACATCTCTCCAAAGAACATAATGGTGTTTTTAACTGCTACTTGTCTATGGAACTAAAGTGGTTATGTCACAATATTTTTAAAAGGAATCAGTGACGTGGTTACAAGTTCCCAACTCGTTTTTAAATATAATCTAATCTAATAAAGAAATTAATATAAATAAATTATACATGTTAAATATACAGTGTGGTTTCTGTACTTGAACGGAATTAAAAACATAGAAGCTATATTTAAATTTGAAAATTATTTATTGTGTTCTGTTTATTTCCTTAATCAGGAAACTAGAAACTTCTTCTGGGAAAATAATTTTCTTACTTAAATTTTCCAAATTTTGTATTGTCAATATATTCGAATTGAAATCAAGCTTGTTGCGATGAATGAATATATCGACGTCTACAAATATATATATTTCTTTTTCTAATTTTTATGATTCATAATTTTGATGATTCAAATATTTATTTAAGGTAATCAGTCAATAGCTTTATTTCTTTCTATAAAAATATAATATAACTCTTTCTGTTCTTAACATTAATTCATTCCTCATACGACTTTATTATGAACTATGAACCAATTTATCGAAAAGCCATCAATCATCGAAACGAAAACGACACAATAACATTTGACAGTCATAATTCTCACATCAAAATATCAATAAATAATATCGATAAATATTCAAAATTTGATTGGCAATTTTCTCATAAATTTCTTATCCGCTTTAGAGTGCAAATAAAATTACAATCGTTAATTCGTTCGTTAGGGAGTTTTATAATTCAATAATGATGACATGAGTGCATGAATGCATGAGTGAAACAATTTCACAACAACAATAACAACACAACTCACACAGGAGTTTTTTTCCCATTGTACAAAAGGAGCTTTGTTTCTGCTGTGTGTGGAGAAATGTGTATGTGTGAGTGTAGGAATGGGAGTTAAGTTGGCGCAAGAGCTGAGTGTATGGTAAGACATTGCACACTGCGGGTAGTAGGGTATGCGGCGGAAGCTGTGAATTAGAATCACGCTCAATTTAATATAATTTAATATGCGCATATAAATTAGTTGAGAGAAAGCAAAAACAAAAACCAATAGAAATTGTGGCTGGTACAGAAGTGATAATTTCTTTACTTTTGTATCGCTTTTGACACAACAACACACGCACACACTCAAGCAAAAGCGTTTTTTGATGATGTGCGCTATGCGTGTGTAAATGTTGTTTTGTGTTTCTTGCTTAGCAGGAGGAAATGTTTAGTCAAAGGAAACAGCAGAGGAGTTCTGCTTGTGTGGCTTGCGGAACAAAAATGATTTTTATTTTTCTGCTACTGACGCTGCTTTTGTTGCTGTCACTGAAGTTCCTGTTGCTGGAACTACTTTTTGCTGCCTGCTGCTTGCTGATTGTTGCTTGCTGCCTGCTGGCTGCTGTCTGTTGCCAGCAACTGTTGCTGTTACCATTGCTGCCGCCGCTAATTGAAGGTGTGCGCACACGGAGTTTGGTTTAAAATTATGATTTATGCTACGGAATCAGAATTAATTTAATATCTTATTTATGTTTGTGAGGAGTCTTGGTTGGTTCATTTGGTTTGGCAATCAGCACAGTAGGAACAGTCGGAGCAGTTGGAGCAGTCACGTAACTCATAAATTTTCACCGTTTCAGTGAATTGTCATAAATTTCAATCATTTCAACATTAATTATGTGCATAAAATCAATTAACCGCCTTTGAAAATTTATGAGATTTAATAATAAAATTTAAAAGGTCAATAAATGGAAGTGTTATTACAATTGTATGGATTATAAAATTAATCCATATTATTTGGTATTATTGAAATTGCAATATTTTTTTAAATCTATTTGGATTTGCCGTATTTCACATCATTTTTTTATTTCCTTATATTTTTTATTGCAATCAGTGACCAGAAATGCGGCATGCTGTCCGAATGACATGTAAAATATGTGCTCATAAAAAAGGGTTCAAATTATTTTGTTTAACTTGACACATCATTTTATGATGATTTCGATGCCCTGTAGAAAAATCTGCCCTACCAATTTAACTAGCACAAACCAATTCCCTTTTACATTTCAACGCAAAATTTTTCATCGAGATTTTTATTACATTTTGGGTAACTTTTTTATGTTGGAGTTTTACTTTTACGTCTTCAAAAAACTAATGATGTTTAGCTTTTTTCATACGTTATCCCACACGTTACCCATATGTATGTCATGTGTACATAATTGTAACAACTGTAAATAAAACACCAGCTTAAAAATATTTCTTAGCTTTAAGCAATTTAGTACTTAAACTTTTGTTGGGCCGAAATAATAAAAAATGCTAATAAAAGAAGAAAAAAAATAGACTGAAAGGAACTTTTTTTACTACTGATAGCCAGGAGCAGAAAAAAATTTTTTTAGGAAAAAAATCCACTCCTTCTATATGCTTATTACATATTAACGACTCCAAACTCCAAGTGTATGTTTCTTAAACGTTATTTATATGATTTGTGTAACGACTTGCAATAATCGAGCGACCTTTCTCTGCAGATTGAAACCATTAAAAGTTTTACTTGTAAGTTGTGAACTTATGACATTTGTCCCACTGCATTAACAGTTACTTTTAAAATATGTACAACATTTTATTTATTTGTAAATTCCTGCCTCTCAACGTTTGTTGTTAATGATAAAATTTCGCCACAAATCAAACTCAACAGCTGCTAATTTTCAGTTTACTTCCTTATGCCAGAGTCACAACGCTATACGTCGTTCCTTTGCATGGCCATTATTGCCAGTGTATGAGCATTCGGTTTGGCACAATGTTATCAGATACATGTGTAAATATGTGTAAATATGTTTCAACCTCAAACACTAAAACTTTTCAAAGAAATTGAATTCGAAACAATTTGTTTGTGTCTTCTGGTTTATCACAGCATATAAATTTTTGTCATTTTTCGGTATCACAAATACCGCACGATGACAACATACAAAACGAAGGCAAAAATATTATTAAATTAAATTTCCATATGCTGCAAAGAACAGCATGTCGTATGCCCGACTAA